GAGGACAACCCAGCGCCAGGCAGATGAGAGAGGGAAAGAGGCGCGCGTCGGCGGGCTTCAAAGGGAAGGAGTTGTATTGCCACAGGGGGAAATCTACCCACTGGCTCCGGAGATTTAAGGAAGCCGGCCGGGCATAAAAGTGGCTGGAAGAAAGGACCAGAAGTAGAAGCGAAACTGCAGAATTGCTCGTAAAAATAACACTCATAGAATAACCTTAACAATTTGTTTATCGCAGTCAAATAGCCTCCCTACCCAACACCCGGTCGGCTCAAAGACCATTTTTAAAAAGCCTATAATGTCCATTTAAAAACAGCAATCTATTAAAACGCCATATAACATACACGGCATCTAAAATGAATATCAGCCCTACAACTCATCCCCATAAACTCGTCAGAAGAGGATCTTTCTTTCTTTCTTTCTTTCTTTCTTTCTTTCTTTCTTTCTTTTTCTTTCTTTCTTTTTCTTTCTTTCTTGCGCAAGACAAGTGTCATAGATCGCAGCCTCCAGCTGCTCGTCTGTCTTATGTGCCGCCTTTACGGAATCAAATCTCTCTGAACTCCACCGCTGGTATCATCGTTGAAGCCTTAAAACTTAGCGCCGTGGGTGAACACAGCCAATTGTTGCTCATCGTGAATGCCACACGATGGAGAATGCTCTCTCAGCAGATAAGCAAACGACTTCTAGCGAGAGCTCCCCTTCTTAAACCGTACAGAAATGGCATTCGCACGACTTTTAGCTATACAATTTGGGATGAAACCTCCTTTGAATGGTGTGGGAGTAGGAACGGATTTCCCGAGAGAGAAATTGCAGACTCCAGGAATCAGGAGCACAACTCAGGTGACCTTGAGGACACAGATAAACCTCCAAGTGCTCCGACTACCCTAAATGGATGCAAATGACCAGCTGTCTGCAAGGAATAGAAATCCTTCCATTGCCCACTGTCCTGACAGAGCTGAAGGAGCGTAGTGGATGAGAAGCGAAACGTCTTCAAAAGAAAAAACGAAGTCGCGAAAAAGCACCTTTGGGACAACCATGACCTGGATGACTGAGAATCTCTACAGACCATTCGCACGACCCACTGAACTGCAGTTACCACGTGTTGGTTTTGCGTAGCGTGAGCCCCAGCCCCCGAGTTGACTGTTCAGTACATTCAGCAAATGGACTGAGTCAACCACGGGCAAACGTATCCTGTGGATGCATCCACGGGTTCTGCTGCATCAGTGTCGTCGTCCCCCCTCCACAAACTATGCACCCGTGGCTTGCTAAAATAACTCCGTTGACCGGCTTCCTACAGCACACGGAATCAGTCGCCTGCCCTACTTAAGCGTAATCCGTAAGGAGAACTCGGCCTGGGTGGATAGATTGCATTTCCACCACTTCAAATTCATCAGGCTCCCCCCTCCCTAAATCCCCCCTCTGGCTTCGGCCGCTCTAAGCTCCTGCGCTGCAACTCAATCGGAGCCCCAAGCTTCGGTGCTCGGGAGCGGCTCCCCAGCAAGAGACAGTGAGGATCTGGCGCAGCGGGCGAACGGCGCGTCCCGCCCCGTCCCCCGGGGACACAATCGGCCTACAGGCGTGACCCTCCCCGGGTTAGAGGGGATGCTCCGGAAAGAGCCGCAGAGGAGCGAAGGGAGCGGACGCCTCTCCCTTCGCAACTCACCCCGCGATGTTACTCGTGGCAGACGGGGCTTAGGGCCGCCGAAAGAGCGGAGATCGCTCCGCAGGCATCTCGCGGCATTTCCTGCAAAAGCCACCGCGGCGATCTCCCCGGTTTCTCGCTTCCAAAGGCCGCTTCTGGAGAAAGTGATGTCATGGCTTTCAAACGGCGGGACTCCTCCCTGCATGCTGACCCGCGACAGCCAATGGGTGCCTGGTCCAAGCTTACTTGGCGCCAGATGTTTCTCTCCCGTTTAGAGGCAGCACCAGCATCACAGCTCCGCCGGCTGCTCCAGGCCTAGTAAAGTGCCAGTAGCTCCACGATGGCGGTAGCAGCAGCTTTGGGATTGCTGTAAAAGGAGAGAGTCTTCTTGACACGTTGGAAAGGGCGAGCAAGCAGCTGAGGTGCTTTGTTAGCATTTCATGTTGCTGCTGTTGTTGAGCTCATCCTAGATCTCTTTGTTTTTTCCTCCCATGGAGGAGCCTTCTCTGGAGATTGCTTAATTTCTTAAGCCGCCAATCTCTTCATTATTAACCTGCCACACTATTTAATATGGTAGTAAGGAACTTAAGTGCCAAGCTTTCGGATAAACTGTTACAAGATTAAAACAAAAGAGCTGAGATTCTAGAGACCACATGGGTCTTTTTCAAAAGTAGGTTTGCAACTTTTTCTGGGAAATCTTGTGTGTCTGTCTAGCTTAGGTAAAGGTAAAGGTTCCCTTCGCACATAGGTGCTAGTCGTTTGTGACTCTAGGGTGCAGTGCTTATCTGTTACTAGGCCAAAGAGCCAGCACTGTCTGAAGACGTCTCCGTGGTCATGTGGCTGGCATGACTAAATGCCGAAGGTGCACGGAACCCTGTTACCTTCCCACCAAAGTGGTCCCTATTTTTCTACTTGCATTTTTTTACATGCTTTCAAACTGCTAGGTTGGCAGAAACTGGGACAAGTAGCAGGAGTTCACTCCGTTACATGGTGCTAGGGATTCGAATCGCCCAACTGCCAACCTTTCTGATTGACATCCTCAGTCTTAGCCACTGAGCCACCAAGTCCCCATTATCTAGCTTAGCAGATCCTTAATTTTGCTTTTCTGAATCCCTTGGATTAAAGAGAAAACCTCTCTTTAAAAGCTTTGTAAAAACACATGAGAGAATGAAGACTACTTCTTATGAGATTAATGACCTATCTCGTATACTGGGCTGTTACGGTTTATTTAACCATAGCTTACAGAGTAAATGATATTCTATTTTATTCACAAATTATAATTCTCAGTAATGCTGGGTCTTGTTGCATTTCCTCATTTTTATAAAGGCGCTACCATACTTTGTTGATATTTGCCAAAATAGGTGGTTAACTACTTCACATTTAAACATGTAGACAGCTTACAGCAATATGAGTTCCTCTCACCTGACCAAAGTTCATTAATATAATGGTGAGAAGACAATCCACCAAAATTTTAGCCTCTAGCTACAAGTCAAACATTGTTGAATGACACCGCTGATCATAAAGAACAAACGTGTTGCTAAGCATAAAGCTTTCTTCATTAGTTTATCTCAAGGAAATTAGAAATATATATATTAAGCTATACATGCATTTAAAGATAAAGTGGCATTTAGGAATATTTTGGAAATAATGTACCACACAGAATGGATAGGGTGTGTACTGTATATATACACAGTAGGTAAATATCTATTTCTGAGGCAGTGACAATTTACAGAGCAAACATAAATATGCTTCTTTGTATAGGACCTAATGATAGGGAGTGACTATAGCACTATGAAAAATGCTTCAGATTCCACTCATTTCAAATTTCAAACAGCCACCTCTGCTGAAAGTTTACTTAAACCATCCTGGAAATACTTCAAGTTGGGAAGAATGTTTTGAACTTGGAACATTTCCAAAAGAGCTCATTACAAACTATGGTTAGTTATGACCATTCGTTCAGTGACTGTTTAGTTACAGAAGCACTGAATGGACTCTGAAGTTAGGACCATTGCAGTCCCTTCAGTCACATGATCAAAATTTGGGCACTTGGCAGCATATCCACACTTACGACAGCAAGGATGTTTCAATTCCTCTCACCTATCTCCCTCCATCTATGCCCTTTTGGCCCCCTGCACCCCACAGCCCTTGCCACCCCAGCTGGCTTTCAGAGTCTTTCTGCTGCTGCAGCTGACCAAGCATACCCAACCTCGCCCTTTGCAGACACTGCTGCTGCCACACACAGCTTTCTTCCCCAGGCGAGGGGAAGGTTTTCTCTAGATGGCCTCATGTGACCAGCACCTACTTTGTGTGTGGCCAGGCCAAAGATCGATTGCAGCTTTGCACTGCGCTATTGGGCCATTATTGGAGCTCAGTTTCATGCTGTGAAGGGCTTCGTGCTGCAAGTGCGATTTGGGGGCCTTTTTGCAGCCTCAAGAGCACACCAAGAGGGTCCTTTTGCGCAGCAGGTTTCCAAGGGTGGCTGTAGCTTTGTGCTTCCTGCAGCCCCAGAGTGGTGGCATGCCAAGAAGCTCCAGAGCCTGTAGTTCTGGGGTTGCCTGCCATCCTGCACAGTAGTGTACAGGGCAGCTAAAAGGGGAGAGATGGGAAGGAATAGGCAGTTGGAGGCAGCCCTGTACCTTACCAAAGTTCATGACTAGGAGAGGAGGGGCCAAGCCCACAATGGCTTGGAATGGGTGGTCATCCACTAACAACTGGCCAAATTTGGTTAATGGCAGCATTGGGTAGTGCTGGGATTGCCATTGCTGTGATGCAGTCATGTGACATTCTGTTTTGCAACTGCATCACTTAGCAATGGATTTCTATCTCAGTTATGGTTGTAAGTTGAAAACTACCTATAGACACAACCATTTTGAATTTGAATCAAAATAGTCTGAATGTGAACCATTTTGCACAGCATTCATTCAGGGGAAAAAACCAAATATTTTTATAATTGTTTGTAACATTGGCTTCTATTTGAAGGCAGAAGAACAAGTATGCTTTGGGAAGGCATAGAACCAACACTTTGAGGGAACTCTGTTGATTCTCCATCAGTGCCCTTCATCACAACCTAAATGTTGCCCAAATATTAGATATAACAAAATGGAGACTGTAAGTGACATTGGTAAAATTTGACATGTTTCAAGTTTGCATCAAGTGAACAAGGAAATTATATTTGTCTGCCTTTGAGTCCTTGGGTTCCAATACAAAGTACACAGTATTCTTGTTTGCTTTCTCTTTCCTGTTTCTACTTATGGGGCCAAATAATCATTTTTTTAATTGGCTCTGCAATTTCTGCTCTCTAGAGAGTTTGGCAAAGGAACTAATTACATTCACACAATTAGAAGAGCAAGCTATAAAATGTATCCAGTATTTTTATTTTTATACTACAAGGGATTTGTACACATTATAATGTAGAAGTGGAAAATTGCTTATACGGGCTTCAGTGCTAAAGGAAAAGAAAAAAAAATCCAGCTATGTGCACATTATACATCAACAGGCTAGTGTACAGTACAGATAATAAAAAGCTCTGCTTTTAGCATGGCTCAGCCTGTGACTTCAAATACACTCCCAATAATTCAACTATGGAAAATACATTTCCTCTTATCAGAGCCTATGACTATGAATAAGGCAGAGGCTTTTGCTTTTTGTATTAATTGAACATTTTAAGATTTCCTATGTTTTCTTCTCCATTTATACCAGAAACGAAAAGGCATTCCCTGAATGAGATCTGAAAGAAGTCACTCAAACATGCTAAAGCTGCATCTCACATGGTTTTTTCCAGATAGACATTAAATCTGGGCAAGATTTAATAGAGAGCTGGCAAAACACTGGAAGCCAAAAAGAGTTCAAGAGCAGCACATGCTTTATCGGACAGGAGACAGTTTTTTAAATCTCAGTTGATAGCGGCTGATTCTGAATTCCCATTGGTTGCAGGTTCGTCTTTCTTACTGTTCTCCAACCTTGGTCCACTTGTCACAAGATGCTGTGTATTCTAATAGAGACAGATAATTGATCCTGTGATTTTTATTAGATAATACAAACTGCAATCACATTAATGCAAATAAATAATGCAAATAAATAAAACAAATTAAAAATGCATTAGCCAACTTAAACAAAAAATAATTCAACCAGTATCATTAAGATGTTTTTTCTTGGTGGATGTTATGAAAATAAGGATTCACAGATACACAATCAGTATGCAAAATTTTGTCTATATTCTAAGCAAGTCAACAAATAAAGCAGCTGAGAAGACATTTCAAGAGAAATTGCTTGAATGTTTACCAACTGAAACTGACAATTCAAAGGCTTCCACCACCTGTCAGTTCCTAACCCTTCCCATACTACTACCAACCAGCTGTGCTGGTTTTCCTTTTTTTTTTGGGGGGGGGGAAGGGAAAGGAGGAGGTAATGATCCTTTCCTGAAACCCATGCAGTATGCAGATGGCTAATCCCCTTAACAAATAAAAGTGACTCCTCCTTTTCTTTATGGTCTGCCTGTGTATATGAAAAGCCTGGCTGTCTCTTTGCAAGGAGGCCTTTGTAGAATAGGTTCTTCTAACATTAACACTTGGCAATTAGCTACCCCTAAAACAAAAGAAGCCCACCAGAGGAAATCCTCCAAACCTAGCCCAGTACCTGCACTGATAGCTCTTGTGGAGGTTCTGATGCAAGAGGTGTAATTTGTCTGGGAAAACTTCCCTTTCCTGCCTGTGTTGGAAGTCCTTGTCGAACGGATTCTTCATCTGAGCA